TTCCTGCGAGGCGGGTGCGCGAAAGGCGCAGGCATACAGAGTGACCTCGTTAAAGCTGGCACAACTGTAGCTCGGAGCGTGAGAACCTGACCGACGCGGGGCTTCCAGGGAACCGCAACTGTTTCTAAACCTTGAAAATAAAAGGTCGCCTCGGGGCTCATGAGAACATAATCGATCAGGGAGGGCTCGGATCGTTTTTTTGAAGCACGTGTATCCTTGCTCTAGACAGCCTATAATGCCTCCCAGTCTGGTAGGCCATCCTGACGTCCAAAAGACCTCGGGTGAAGCGTTGAAATCTCCAGCCACGATCCAAGGATTTTTACACGTGTGTCAAAAGGCTGTCATTGCAGACAATTTGGCAGCATTGTTCCCAGTGAAACAGTTCGCACCCTCAAGGTAGAGGCTGATGAGGGTGATGCTGACACCCTTGAGATGCCACGTGACGGGCATCCAGTCGTGAAAACTACAGGTGGGGCTCTTCTGTCCCCGACTCGTGCACACTGTGCTGGACGACGCGCAGCGTTGCTGAGCCAACTCCCGAAACATCGTGCATTGGTGTCTAGAACGGATGGCCGTGCAGACACCACCCCTCGAGCCCTTTTGCGAGGTCTCGCTCTGCCGAGCAGCAGAAAAGGCGGCTTTGAGGCCCCAGCCCCTCACCTCCTGTTCCAGCTCGGCCAGTCTACGATGTTTGACGTGAGTCTCTTGCAGCATGAACGCAACGTACGAGTCCACGGACTCCTTGATGAATCTGCTGGCTTTTGACTCCCCACTCGTTGATGTTCCCGATGAACACTTGCCGAGTCGGCCGCTCGGAAACTCTGCGGGCTTGACCTGGCCCCCGTCAGGCGGAGGGCGGCGCTGCAGCAGGCGCTGCAGCCGCGGGCTGTGGCTGCTGCGAGCGCGCCGCCGCGAGCAGCCTCTGCTTGGCCAGCTCCCTGGCTCGTTCCTTCTCCGCCCCCCTCGCCTGCTCTGCGCTGGGAGCGGCGGCAGCCGCAGCCGCCGCGCCTGAGCCTGCCGCCGAGCCGTCGGCCGCCTGGGCAGCGCCCTGGGCCTCGGCTGGGGCGGCTGGCTGCGGTGCGGCTGCTGGAGGCGGCGCCTGCTCGTGCTGCTCGTCGCTCACTGCCGTGCCGTCGACGCCCTGTCTGCGCTTCTTGGCTGCCTGCGTCGCCGCCGCTCGGTCGGCAGCGGCTGTCTGCTTGGCGGCCTCCAGGTGCGTCTTCAGCTGGGTGACGAACTGGCCCGTCCTCTGCTTGAACTCTGTGAGCATCTTCTCCTTCGCCTTGTTCACCTCGGCGATAGCCTCGGCGTCGACTTCGTCCGCATTGATCTCCGGGGCACCGTCTAGATCCTGCAGCGTCTCCTTCTCGAGCGCGTCGGGGTCCATCGTGAGGATGTCGTGGAGGAGGGTAGGTTTCTTCTCGGCTTGGCCCTCCATGCGTATCTGGTCTACGATCTTCTCCGCGCTCACCACCGCTGCAGCCTTCTCCTGCAGGTCGGACTCGAGCTTCTGGAGACGTTGCTTGGCCTCACCTCTGGCCGTGAAGGCCTTGTCGTGGGCCTTGTTCTTCTGCTCCAGGTCCCAGGCTGCGTCGGCCAGCCGCGTAGCCATGCTCCTCTGTGGCTGCGCTGGCTTGGCCGCCTGGGCGACTGCGCCGACCACCGTGGCGAGCTGCTGGGTGATCTCGGGCTGCAGCGCCATGCCCTCGAGCTGTGAAGACACGTCCTCAAGGGCCTTCAGCAGCCCTTGTCCTGGGTTGGAGTCATTGTCCTTCTTGTCCTTCCCCTTGCGCGCAAAGTGGGCTCCGCAACGGCACTTCCACTGCAGAGTGGGGAGGACATCGTCGTATTCCCAGCGCTCACACCTCTTGCATATCGTCCACTGGCGGCTGCGTCCATGGGATTGGTGCTGGTAGCCGTAGTTGGAGCCGTGCTGCTGCCAGTTCTTCCCCATGCTGAACGCGTGGTGACCGTGGTGGTGCACGAGGTCGGCCAGCGCCGCGGCGACGATCCTCCTCGCTTGGTGTCTGCGATGGCGGAGGCGCCTATGCCAGGCGGGCTCTGGGGACTGTGTGCGCTTCTTCGCCGTCGACGCTGACTCCCTGTGGGTCAGCGCCCTAGGGTCGGCCAATTCTCTCGAGCGATGCCAAAATGGGGGGACTCGAGAATGGCACGACGCCTAGGAGGAGGACGAGGAGAAGGAGGACGAGGAGGAGGAGGACGGGGAGGACGGGGAGGACGAGGAAGAGGACGAGGAGAAGGAGGACGAGGAGGAGGAGGACGGGGAGGACGAGGAGGAGGAGGAGGAGGCCGAGAAGGAGGAGGAGGGGGAGGAGGCCGAGGAGGAGGAGGAGGAGGAGGACGAGGAGAAGGAGGACGAGGAGGAGGAGGACGGGGAGGAGGACGAGGAGGAGGACGAGGAGGCGGAGGAGGAGGAGGAGGAGCAGGAGGAGGAGGAGGAGGAGGAGGAGGAGGAGGAGGAGAGGAGGAGGAGGAGGAGGAGGAGGAGTGGCTCAACGCTCTGCGACCCTCGACCGCTCCTCGCCCACCGAGCGCGGGGAAAAGCCTCGGGACTCCGCCGGCAAGGAGTGGCCACGGCCCCTGCCAGGGGCCCCCCCCCGCCCCCCGTGCGGGGCCTCGAGCGGTCAGCGGTGAGGAGCCACGCGGAAAAAGGGTCCTCCCTACCTCCTCCTCCTCCTCCTCCTCGTCCTCCTCCTCCTCCTCGTCCTCATCCTGATCCTCCTCCTCCTCCTCCTCCTCCTCCTCCTCCTCGTCTTCCTCGTCTTGATCGTCCTCCTCTTCGTCCTCCTCGTCTTCCTCCTCCTCCTCTTCCTCTTCCTCCTCCTCCTCTTCCAGCCCAGAGCCCAGATCCCTCCTCCGCCCTCGTGCGGCAGCTTCGTCGCGTGCCGACCTCGGCGCCAGACGCCTGCGCCGCGTCTGTCGCTCCACCTCTGGAGCGACCGCGGCCCTCCGACTGCAGGGAGCGTCGGATGCCGGAGGACGCCTGCGAGGCGGGGATCTCTCCATACCCACCGCCTGGGAACCGAGGTCCCGGTGCCCCAGCGGGCGGTGAGTCTGGGTATATGTCGGCCCCCGGGGGCCCGAAGATGTCCATGTCCCCCCCCTGCCGAGGCTCCGAAAACTGACCCTCCGGGCGGTGGATCTGGATGAATCCCCGCCTCGGAGTGCGGGGCTGCCAGCGGCGCTCCGTCTGGAGCGCCCGCGCTGGGGCTCCTCCTCCTCCTCCTCCTCCTCCTCCTCCTCCTCCCACTCCTAGCCCTTTCGATCAGGGTCGGCGGCACCGGCCGTCAGGCCTCTCCAATCCCCGAAAACTTAGGAGGAGGAGGAGGAGGAGGAGGAGGGAGGAGGAGGAGGAGGAGGAGGAGGAGAGGAGGAGGAGGAGGAGGAGGAGGAGGAGGAGAGGAGGAGGAGGAGGGTGGGTCTGGAGGAATCCCCGCCTCGGAGTGCCGGGCTGCTGGCGGCGCTCCGCCTGGAGCGCCCGCGCTGGGGCCGCCGTCGCGTCGGCACGCCCGGCCCAGATTCGAGTCGGGCGAGTCCCCCTCCTCCTCCTCCTCCTCCTCCTCCTCCTCCTCCTCCTCCTCCTCTCCTCCTCCTCCTCCTCCTCCTCCTCCTCCTCCTCCTCCTCCTCCTCCTCCTCCTCCTCCTCCTCTTCCTCCTCCTCCTCCTCCTCCTCCTCCTCCTCCTCCTCCTCCTCCTCCTCCTCCTCCTCCTCCTCTCCTCCTCCTCCTCCTCCTCCTCCTCCTCCCTCCTCCTCCCTCCTCCTCCTCCTCCTCCTCCCCTCCTCCTCCTCCTCTCTCCTCCTCCTCCTCCTCCTCCTCCTCCTCCTCCTCCTCCTCCTCCTCCCCCCTGGTCGGGGGACGACTGTTCGACCATGCTCGAATCTTCTTGTTTGATCTGTTCTGAAGATTGAACATTGTCCTCCGAGATCAGCCTGTAAGGGGACTTGCCCGACCAGAGCCCAGACCCCTCCGCCCTGTGAGAACGGTTGCTTTGAAGGCAGATCCGCCTTCCAAAACATGGTCTACTCTGTAAGAGCGTTTTTTGTTGAAGGCAGGTCTGCCTTCAAGAAAAACCCTTCCTCCGCCCTTGCCCTGTCAGGCAGGCGCCAGCATGGTGGGGGGGGGACACTCCCCCCGAAACCATGAAGCCGATACCTCCTGCTTCGACAACGTTGCGCGTCGATGCTTGAACGGAAACGGGACCCGCCGCAAATCCACGCGCCGTTCTGGGATTATGTCAATACTGTCTGTGAATCGGGTTCGGCGCGCGACGATGTCAGCCGCCTCTGCACATCATGGGCATCAAGACTCGCCAAGAGCACCGAGCGTGCATACCCTCTAGGATTCCTTTCCCTCCTCTTCCTCCGCGTCGACCCTCCCCCTCCTCCCCTCCAACATCCCCACCGATGCTGTTCAACGTTCTGGACCTTCCGAGTGCAACGCACACGCAGGTGCTGACAATATGCGTGAATCTTTTATTCCAAGACCTTCTCGCTGCAAATGATAAGTTATGCTAGCTGGTAGCGTAGGCAGAAGGGGGCCCCCTCAGCCAATATGTTTACGGGCAGAGGGGTGAGAGCATGCAACAGCAATAGCAGGGACCAGCATTATCAGATAAACAGAATGACTATTGCACTCCTGGAGTTCTCTCTGGTCCTGCTCTGAAACTCGGAATGCGGCCTGGCTATACCACGGGTTTGTTTGCAGCACGGACTCGGATTAGCACGAAATAAAACAGTAACTGAATTCTCTGAGCGGCCAAGGATCGGCAGCTGAAATCAATGAACCGAAACTCGATACGGCATCCGGAATCGGTAATATCTTGGGCAAAACCAAGCGGAAGGGAGTGAAACGCGACTCCCGGCACGTGCAAGTAAAAAAAATATCAAACTCGCAATATCTTGGGCGAAACCAAGCGGATGGGAGTGAAACGCGACTCCCGGCACGTGCAAGTAAAAAATCAAATCGCTTCTTCTGTACTTGGCCATCCCCACCGGTCAGCTCCTCGCAAGCAATCGACTCCACGAGCGAAAGCACTGGATCCGCCAAGAACTTGGTCAGATTCTCACGAAGCTTCGGATCCTCCTTGGTCATGCCGTCGGCTATCATGTGCGTCGTAGGGATCCATCTGACGTTCTTGACCTTCACCTCGTCACGAATGGAAATCACGTCGATCACAGTACGTTTCTCAGACAAACTCGGGGTGAGCTGGTGGAGGGCATCGTACAGAGACTTGCAGTCGGTAACGGTGATAACCTCGAAGATCGGTGGGTGTCGGCCAGCAGGCCGTCCAGTCAACATCTCGGACAGGAACTTCGACAAGTACGACGCGTAGTCCACTCCCAGGTCCTGCGCGATAGCTTCCCCAGCCAGCGTAGATCTCACCACTCTCGGCGTTCTCTTGGACTTGTGAAACAAGAGAGTACATGACGTGGGTCCGGTGAGTATCACCTCGTCTGCCAGAAAGATGAGGGTGCCGATCTGGGTCTTCAATCCTGGAGCGTTCGCCCATGAGCTGTCTGCAAAACTCACGAAGCAGGCGCGGCTCAAATCGACGCGGACGATCAGGATGCCGGTCTGGGCTGTGCGGTGCGCGTACTCGACGTGCTTCATGGCCATCCGTAGGTCGTTCAGCTCGGGGTCGGTCCTCTGAACAAGGGAAACCGCGGCTGACAGGTCTGGACGTGTGTGTCCGGACAACCACTGGAGCGAACCGACAGCAGACTCCAGATCTTCGCGCTCAGAGCGCGTCAGCTTAGAAGAAGACCGAGTGCTGGACATAACTCCAACCTTCGTGACTGCAATCGCCTTAGTGTAGGCCGCTTGATGAACAAACAAGCTTCCGCTGTACGGACCTTGACGTAGGCGCTGGTACTCCTCGCCGAGGAAGACGAAGTTGTCCCACTGCCAGCCTCGCCATTTGATAGCCTTCTCGATCGGTGTGAAGTCGAACTCGGGACGGTGTGCCGCAAGAGCATCGTCCACGTGCATACCCACCGCGCAAGCCAACTCATTGTTCGGAAAAAACCACAAGAAGAGAGCTGAATCGAGGCTGTGGAGCTTGCTGCCCAGCGCCAGGAAGGTCGTCACCACGTGCTTGTACCATAGGTACGGCGCCGTCGACTGACCGTACAGGTTGCCAACCACCTCGTAGAGTGGGGCGGTGAAGACTCCGGCGGCTTGAACTATCGGGTCCTTGGGCGGAATCATGTAGATCGCCTCCTCGCGCTCGCTCTGGGCGCCTCCCTGGAGAAAGGCGCTCTCCGCGTCTCCGGTCCCGACTCGCCAGTCATTCGAGACCGCGATCTGGCAGATCAGCTTCTTGCCAGCGTCGGTCAGCACCGGGGCGTTGCGCGGCAACTTCTCCAGGTCGGGGTCGGAGAACCCCAGCAACACCGGGCGAGCCTTGGCCTTCAACGGCGGAAACCCCAAGTTCTTGTCCCGGTAGCACACGCGCGAGCGGATGCACCGTTTGCGGCGATGAGGGTCACGACGAACTTGTTCGGCCTCCTCCTGCGAGCAGGCCCGAACGGACTTCCAGGTGTCCCAGTTCTGGCACTCCTTGCGCAAGGCCTTGACTCTTGACGTACTCCATGAACTGGTCCTCCGGGTACTCTGCGATCTCCCGCCAGGGGATTTCACGATCCAGTTGACGCTGCTCGCGTCTCGACAGGTTGTTCGAGTCCGTCGTGTCGCCCACCTGTGCTGTCGCACAGTCCACGTCCATCTCGCCGTCCCTGAGGTCGGAGAGCTCGTGGGAGGTCATGTACAGGCAGTTTGTCCAGTCGTCGTCCGGCTCGCTGTCGTCGATCGGGTCGTTCTCGAAGTTCTCGATGGGCAAGAGGTGCGCCTCGTAGGCCTCCTGGACCTCCGCCAGGCTCGAGAACACGCGGGTCCTGAGCAGGACCGGCTCCTCGACTCCGTCCCAGCCATCCGGTGTGATGAACTCCATCTCGTCCGACTCGTTGGACACGAAGGCTGCTGGGCTCGGTGAGCCCGGTATGTGAGGAAGCTTTCCTGGTCGGGATTTCTTCTCCGGTGGTGGTGCGATAACCGTCGAAGGTGCCGAACCGCTCGATGGTGGTCGAGCTGCGGACGACTCGCGGGCATGAGGTGCTGATCTCCTCGGCGTGGGCGTCGCAGAGCGCTCTCGTGTTCTGACTGGTCCAAACTGAGGCGGTGCCGGCCACGGAAAGGGCGCAGCGGGCTCTGGAGCTTCGCCTTCGGCTCGACGCTGGGCTCGACGCCGGGCACCGCTCTGGCCTGTCGGCGTCGGAGACTCCGATGCGTCGGCAAGTTGAGGAAGTTCAGCATTTGGCGCAGCTTCAGGGGCGTCGTCGGCTGACGCGCTCCTGAAGTTCTCTTTGGTAGCGTTGTCTCCCAGAGAGGCCTGCGCGGGCTCCTCCGGGATGGGCTCGAGCGGGGCTGCCGGAAGAGGTCCCGGCAGCACTCGTGCTTGCGGATCTTCTGGTTCGGGTTGTTGTTCAGGAGGGCCCTCAATGATGATGTTCGAAGCGTCGCCCTGGCCGGCCTTCGCCAAGTCCTGCTCGGCCGTCTTGAGCTCCTTGAGGTCCTCCTCGGAAGGGGTCCAGCCCTCGAAACCGACGGCTGGGCGTATGTGTTCGCGGGCCACCTGTGCAGTGCGGTGCCCGATCTGCAACCAGGCAGACTCGCCCTCGCCGTAGCCGTTGGTGCCGGAATCCCAGAAACAGAAAATGCCTGGGCGATACCCTGCCACGGGCGTCTTGCCCCGTCGCTTGCGACCATGCTCGCCCCAGGCTGCCACGCGCTGTCCCGAGAGGAAGTCGTACTCCTTGCGGTTGACAGGCTGGCGGAGGATGGAGGTGCGCAGCGCCTCGTCGGCCTCCAGGTCGGCGATCGCCTTGAGCGCCTCAATGCGGCATCTCTCCCCGTAGGCCAGCATCTCATCCTGGGTGCAATTGTGCCAGAACTCGGCGGACGTGGTGTCGGCCAAGAGCTCGGTCGGAAGTGTGGGTACCCGTCCGAAGGCGGCGGCATAGGCGGTGCGGCCTGCTCGGCGCACTGACTGGTTTACGGCGTGGCTCGTCGAGATGATCGCAAGGTCCACGTGCTCTGGCGTCGTCGGCAGGATGACGTCGATCACCTTCTCGAAGACTCGGCGCCAGGCGTAGTTGCCGGATTCGGCCAGGCCCAGCTGCCAGTGAGCTCCCGGCGGCACGTACCTCACGTCGATTCCCAACGTGTGGCAGTTGTCCATGAACACGGCTTCGAAGGCACCGTCCCGGTCGACAACCAGAATCTGCATGATCCCGAACGGGGTGAGCCAGCACGTCTGGAACTTCTCCCAGACGTCTCCTGGTTCGCGTGAAGTAATCCGACACACCACATGTAGTCTCGTAGCTTTGTCCACCAGTCCCAAGAGTGCGTGTGTCGTACCGTCGTGGGTCATGACGTAGAACAAGTCGCCCTTGACTAAGTCGTTGAACAGACCCACTCTTGGAATCTGTGACTCCCGCTGTCGCTGAGGCCGTTTGCGACGAAGGCACGCCGGGCACCTCAGCGCTCTGGCGCACAGCAGCGTGGCCTGCGAGGCGCCTCTCTGAGCCAGGAACTGGAAGAACTCGCTGGGCACCGGATGTCCCAAGTTACAGCGCATACGAGCGACAAGCTGGCGAACTTCACGAGGACACTGCTCCTTTGTCACTCCAACAAAACGTATGCCAGCCATACCGCCAGACGCGTCAGGCATCCGAGCGATCGGGACGTCCTGCAGGTCGTCGTCCTCGTCGGGCGGCAGGCTGTTGTTCGGCAGCATCGGGTCGTTCGGGTCCGGGGGAAGCGGCATTCGCTTCTCTATCTGTGATGTGTCAGGCTCCTGCGGGAGGGACTCCTGCTTGGCATAGCCGAGGAAGAAAACGGCTAGGTCCGCGGGCGGCGACAAGGCCAACGTCGGGAAGGCCACGTCAACCAGGTCCTCGGCTTCGATGTGGTAATGCCCCTTCTCGTCCACGTAGCAGTGCCCACGGTGAGACCACGGCTCCTTGTTGATGGGGAACCTCCTTTGCTTGGCTGTCTTCGCGAGCTGGATCATCGTGAGGTCCCACGGGACGAGCTGGCTAATCTGTCTCCAGAGCGTGGATGACTTCGAAAGGTAATGCATGGCCTTGTTCCCGCCGCGGCTGGCGGAGCCGCCCACGATCTGTCGGACGCCCTGCATGACCGCCTCCCACCTGGTGGGGTCCTTCTCTGGCGAGGCGAACAGCACCTCGATGGGACCTGCGTGGTTGTAGGCGACCTCCCACTCGGTAGCCGTGACCGGCATGTCGGCGAACCTGCTCGGATTCCTCTGGGCGGCGACCTGCTGGATCGCGTGGAGCATCGCGTGGGCCATCTCGTCGGTGTACTCGCCGCTGGCCTTTGTCCACTTCGAGTTCTCGATCTGATCGTGCAAGTGGCCCCCGGACTCCGGACGAAGTCCTGGGCAGCGGCGGCTCAGAGCCGCAAGCACGGGCGGCGAGTTGGAGAACCAGCGATACGCCTTGCGAATCGGCAGGCCAGTCTTGCCTGTCTTCCCGTACTGGCACCCATGGCCAATAACGGTCTCGCCCAAGGGCAGGAGCGGGGCGAACTGGAGGTCCTTCCAGATCGCTGACGTCGGCGGGTTCTCGAACAAGAAGAACCGGCCATGCTTCACCTGGTACTTGATGGTCCACTTGATCAAGTCAATCAGCCGTCGATCCCGAGCACGAAGTCTCTCAAGCAGCTCGGGATGGTCGACGTAATTCACATTGACGTTGTAGGAGCACCAGAGCGTGCAGGGGAAGCCTACGATCACGTAGAGGGGCTTGTCTTTCTGTATCTGATCTTTCCATCTCTGAGCACCTCGCGTAGTTGACAAGTCCCAGCCGTCCTCTATGTCGGCGCTCGGCGAGGCCCTCAGCTCGAAGCGTGAAGCTAGTCGCGTAGGTCTTGCTGTCCCGGCGCAGCCCTCGATGAGGTCGGTGCCGCACGCCTGGCACTCGTTGTCCAGGTACCGGTGGTCGGGCAACTCGGGAACGGGAATGTCCATGAAGGCCACGTCCGAACAGCACCATTCCGCGTCTCGTAAATCGGCAGCTCGGCGATCGGCATCTTGACTCACGTTAATAAGCGTCTCGCAGGCTGCGGTCGTCTTCTTAGCAATGCCGAGAAGGCGCTTCCAGGCGCCTCTCTTCACCATCTCGGTCCCCGACGCGGGGGAGGCTGGCGCGGAAGCTTGTCCCATCCCTGGTCCGTCTCCTCGCCCCCGGAGGTCCTGTCCATGTTCTCGTCGCCCTCCTCGTCCGTCGGAACCGCCTGCTCCGAGGGTGACCTTGGCTCCGCCTTGGTCCGCGTACGACCCTGGCTCGAGCTCGCCGAAGACTTGACCGGGCGTTTCGGCATTGTTGAAGCAGCTGGCCGAGAGCGCGAGGAGGAACCCAGTGACTTTGTCGAGGTAGGTACGCGAAGAGGATCTTCTTTGTCGTCCACGATCCACTTCCCGTTGACCGACTTCCACCGCCGGCCGCACTGGTCGCAGATCAGCCAGTACCCCTTGGCGTAGTACCTCCTCGTTGTCGGATGGGCGCACACGTCCCTCTTCTCGCACAGCTGTGAGTAGTTCTGGGCTTGATCCTCTGGTGCCGGCGGCGGTGGCAGCACGCTCTCCGGAACCTGTGCGGCTCCTCTCGCGATCGCCTTCACTGAGTCCGCCATCGGTGTCAGGTAGCCCATCTCGTGGCCCATCTGCGCGATCGCGCCCATCATCCGGTTCGACATCTCCATGTTCTGCCGGAACTGCTCGCGACTGCGACCGATGATGTGCGACAGGTGGTTCATGATCAGCTGCATCAGGTTCGTCCACGCGTTGATCGCCAGGTTCTGCCTCGTCAGCTGAACTGTACGACGAGACGATCGGGCCTCCTGCGACTCCGACTTGACCGACTTCATTCACCGAAAGGACTTCGCGAGGCTGAAGCAGCCCGCGGTGAGTATATGTAAGAGCACGCAGTGCTGCGCGTGAAAACTGCATAGGCTGAGACTCGGCTTGAGCACAACTATCTCCGGAAACACAGGCTGGTGCCTCTGGGATCCACTGGGGCTCCGGGATGATGACGTCCGAGGGGGTGAACTTCCAGGCCTCGGGCTCCCTTGGGAACCCCACATCCTTCAACCAAGAGTCGACTCTCAGAAGCAAGTGGCCATTCGGGGCAATCTTCAAGGGCACGTCGCACAGGTTGATCTTGGTGAAATGAGCCCTTTCCCCCAAGGTGTCCAGCTGGAGGCCCAAGAGCTTCCACATCGGTAACGATCCCAAGAAAGGCAACTTAGGGTTCACGTCCAAGACTGAGGTACGGCAAACCAGGGGCACCACATGTTCAAGACATATCGGGAAATACACCACAGATTTGCTCACCGCACGACTGACTCCAAACCGAAACCTCTCTTGCTCCTCAGCTTCCCAGAAACTCAATCCCAGGTAGGCGATATGTTCCAGAAACTTTCCCAAACACTCGTAGCCCACAACGTTGCGCTGGCAACCTGTGTCGATGACAATGTAGAAACCCTGGGAATCCTCGAGGAAGCAAACGTCCAAGGGCGTCCGGACATGCCAGATGACGTCGACCTGATGCGATGATTTTGTCCCGCTTCTCGCCGCCTGAGCTCCGCGAGAATCCACGGAAAACTGACGCACTTCTGGCGTTGCCTGAAATCGAACGTGAGAGGCCCCCTTGTCGCTGGTGGCGACCCTGCTCTTGAAGGCGGCCACGCGCTGCTGCAGCTCGTCGGGCGAGAGGTGCGTGACTAAGGCCTCGTGCTCTACCGCATCGGCGGCGTACTCCTCATCGTCTTCATCGGCGGGTTCGTCCTGATCGATCGAGGCATCATGAACGGCGCGAGCTCGATCGCGTTTATCCTTGTAGCCGGTCCTCGAAGACGTCTGGCGAAACCCTGGCCTCTGAGATGCCGCCGGTGCTCTTGAATCTCCGGATCGGTCTCCCGTAAATGTGCCACGAATGCTTCCTGAAAAAGACGTGCCGGCCGGCGGCGTCGCAGTGCCTCTCTGTGGCGGTGCTGACGATGTCTGCGGCGGCCTGCCGGGCGGCGCTGGGGGCGGCCGGCCCGCAGGGGCGGCGGCACCCCCGGAGGGCGCTGACCGCGGTGGCGGGCGTCGGTCTCCAGGCTTCGGCGGTGAGGACCTTCCGGTCCACCCGCGGCCCAAGGTCAGCTTCTTCAACTTGTCGCTGGTGACGGTCAAAGCGTCCGCCACCTCCTGCATGACCTGGATACTGTCAACCTCCTCGGCGTAAGCCTCATTTACTTCTGCTTGATCGGGGTCATCTTCATCTTCGTTTTCCTCAGCCTCGTCCTCGGGAATAATGTCGGCCTCGCTGACGTGGGGCGGCTTCGGCGGCGGTCGAGGAGCTCGACTCGGTGGCTGTCGATCTCGTCCTTTGCCGCCTCCTTTGTCGGGATCTCGACCAGCCGACCTGCGTTCAGGAGCGGCCGCCTCACCGAGTCGCTTGCGTGCCATCCGTCGTACTGGAGCGACCCAGTTCGGTGCGGTGGACGGCCACTGCACACTCATAGCCTGAACGAAGCGGTCGAAGTCATACTCATTGCCCGTGGCGAGGAGAAGGTTGCGCCGGACCTCCGGCGATAAACATGAACTTCGCAACAACTTGAATGCACGAAATTGTCCTTGCTGAGCTGGAAGCTCTGCCCGCTTGAGCCGCATCTCGAGATCCTTGAAATGCGCGACGTACGCGGCCAGCAGCTCACCGGGCAGACGCTCCACTTCTTCGTACTCTTCCATGAGGTCTCCAACCTGTAGGATCTGCTGCTCGTCAAACACGGCGAGGGAGTTGATCACCAAATCAATACCATCCTGTGAATACAAACGGGTCCATTCCAAGGACTCGATCATCTCTGCGCCCTCGCCCGTGATGACGTCCGAAAGGTCCAGGGCCAGCTCGGCCATCGGCTTGTAGTGTCGCGCCCTGGCCTTCCACATGTGGACTTTCCTAACCCACTTCTGGTAGTATCTCGGCTGCTTGTATATATTCTGAAACCGGGCCTCGAGTGGAGGTGGGGCTGGGCACGGTCCTCCGCGCCACTTCTTGCGATCACCGCGGGTGCGTCGAAATTCCGCCGAGCTCGGTGGAATCTCCGACTCCTCGTCGTCGTCCTCGGCCCAGTCCTCTCCAGCCCACTCGTCGGCCCATTCCTCTTCGTAGGTCTCATCGTCGGGCATAGCCGCTGCCGCGGCTCCATCTCGAGGGTGCTTGCCCCTGTATCGACGATCTCCGTACTTCTTCGGTGCGGCGGCACCGCGAGAACCAGCGGCAGCAGCAGGCCTCCGGTCAGCCATCGTGCGAGATGTAATATCCGTCGGGATCTGTCCGACTGCACGGGAGTGTCCGGGAAGAAACTGTCTGATGCCGAAAGGGTTCTCCCTGCGAGGGAGCTCGGAATACACGCTCCGCTGCCAATGCAACGCACACGCAGGTGCTGACAATATGCGTGAATCTTTTATTCCAAGACCTTCTCGCTGCAAATGATAAGTTATGCTAGCTGGTAGCGTAGGCAGAAGGGGGCCCCCTCAGCCAATATGTTTACGGGCAGAGGGGTGAGAGCATGCAACAGCAATAGCAGGGACCAGCATTATCAGATAAACAGAATGACTATTGCACCGAGACCGTCTCCTTCCCTCCCTCCCTCCTCCTGCTGCTTCCCGCTGCCACTTCTCCTGCTGTTGCCGCTCCTCCCCTGGGGCTGGGGCCCTTGGGGTGCATTCGTCGCCCTTCTTCCTCCAGAAACAAGGAAAGGCGACACCAACACCAACAGGGCGAGGAGATGCGCGGAGGCCAGAGGGGGGGTTTACCTGGTGGTATGGTCCCCCCCTCGCGCTCGAGACGTCCCCAGTCTCTCGCTCGGGGAGGCATCGTGGACCTCCTCGCTGGAGGTGGGCCCCCTGGTGGTGTTGGTATCGCTTCTCCTCCCACCGACTCCTCGTTCACCAAACCCTCGGGCAATCTGCAGCCTCTTGCCCTCGGCAGCCTGGGGCCTGCGAGGCTCCCTCGCACGCGCGTCGCTTCGACACCGTCCTCGCCCTCCCTCGCCTCGCGGGCTTTCTCCTCCCCCTCCCTTCTTCGTCCTCCTCCCCTCCTCCGCCCTACTGTTCCTCCCGCTCCACCGTCCTCCTCCTCCTCCTCCTCCTCCTCTTCCTCCTCCTCCTCCTCCTCCTCCTCCTCCTCCTCCTCCTCCTCTCCCCTTCCTCCCCTGTCTCCCCACTCCTCCCCACTCCCTCTCCCCTCTTGTTCCTCCTTCTCGCCCTACCGCACGACGGCCGCAGCACGCCGAGACGCTGCGCAGCTTTTGCCTCCAGGCACTCGGAACCTGTGGCATCCCCGCACGCACCGCCCACGACGGGTGAGGGGCTCCTCGCGCTCTCCCTCCCCCCGCCTCCCTCCCTACAGGGCTGGACCCAAACGTTCTGTCTCGTGTCGTATGTGTGTTGTTGTTGTTCGTTTTGCTCTGCCTGTTTTCCTGTACCTCCCTCCCACAACGAAAAACATAACAACATAACACAGCCGAAGTCCTGCAAAAAACAGCGTGTAGGTCCAGCCCTGCCTTCCTCGCTCCTCCCTCTCCCTCACTCCTCCCCCATCTTGGGGAAATAAAAGGTACTGATACCGCGGACCTCTCCAGGGATGCGTTCTGACCAGAATCTCGCGGCGAATCCAGCGGTGGCGGCGAGGGACTCCCAGGAGGCCCAGAAAGAGGAGAGAACGGGCGAAGTGTAGAGGTATGGGTACCTTTTCCTGCTCTGATATCTCCCTCCCTATCTCCCTCTCTCTCTCTCTCTCCCTCTCTCTCTCTCTCTGCGCTCTTCGCGCGCACCTCTACGGCGCGGTCCAGTTACCCCACGCGGATGCTCCCCACACGGCTGCGCTGCACTGCGGCCGCCTGCAAAAGCCTGGCTAGCTGTCGTTCGCCCCCCCCCGTCGGTCACTCGCCAGGACCGCTTCGGGCTCCGAGGAGGAGGAGGAGGAGGAGGAGGAGGAGGAGGGGGAGGAGGAGAAGAAGGAGGAGGAGGGGGAGGAGGAGGGGGAGGAGGAGCCGGAGATAATGGAGGAGGAGGAGGAAGAGGAGGAGGAGGAGGAGGAGGCGGAGACAATGGAGGAGGAGGAAGAGGAG